CGCTCTCCCGGAGCTCTGGAGTCGCGCTCTCGCTGGAGACTTGCTTTCAATCAACCTACTGAAGAATAGCCTTGCGTTGGAATGTCCTGCAATTTGCCCAAGCGCCGCGCTCCCGATATCCAGGCACCCAGGAGTCGCGCCCGTTGTGGCCCCATGTGCATGCTCTTCGTGGCCCCGCTGTCGCCATTTGTGCCTCAGTGTCCTACGTGGCCCAGTTGCTACCCCCAGTGGCCCCATAGTTGCCTGCAGTGGCCCCGCATTATCTGCACTTCGTGGCCCCCGCTCGTTCGCACTCTTCGTGGCCCCATACGCATTCCCTTCGTGTCCCCGCTGTCGCCCTTCGTGGCCTACTTCGTGCCCTTCGTGGCCCTGCTGTCGTTCTCTCTCGCTCTCGCTTTCGCTCGTCGTCGCCGTCGTCGCCGTCGTCTTCGACGTCGTCGTCGTCGTCGTCGTCGTCGTCGTCGTCGTCGTCGTGGTCGGTCCCCTGTCCGTCCCTCTTGGGGTCGGGTCGACGGTCCGCGGCCGCCCCGCCGATCAGCGCTGCCGCTGGCCAGGCAGACGGTCCGCGGCCGCCCCGCCGCTTGCCGGGGCCCGCCCTGCAGGGAAGAAAGGTATACCCCCCAAAAGGGGCTCGATCGAAGACGAAGAGGGCGGGTATCGAGGGTTTGGGAAATACGCGTTATGGGACACTCGAGCATATACGGGCGAACTGTTTTAAACTGATTGTTGTTGCTGTTGTTGTTGTTGTTGAGGTTGAGGTTGATGTTGTTGTTGTTGTTGTTGTTGTTGTTGTTGTTGTTGTTGTTGTTGTTGCTGTTGTGGTTGTTGCTGTTGCTGTTGCTGTTGTTGTTGTTGTTGTTGTTGTTGTTGTTGTTGTTGTTGTTGTCGTTGTCGTTGTCGTTGTCGTTGTCGTTGTCGTTGTCGTTGTTGTTGTTGTTGTTGTTGTTGCTGTTGTGTTTTTTTTTCTTGTGGTTGTTTTTTATTATTGTTGTTGTTGTTCGTTTCGAAACAACTTTTTATTGTTGGACCCCCCAGGCGCATTGACGCTCTCGCCACGGCGCTGGCTACACGTTCGTTGAACATGAGGTTCACGCCCGAACAGTTTTGGGGGGCGCCAAAACGCCCCCCCCTCCCCCCCACACAACAACAACGCTCCCGCTCGAGACTTCCTCCTTTTATCCCAACCATCCTGTGGTGTCGGGTCTTCGTTTTGAAGAGACGGTGCTCCGCGTTCCTCTCATCTCCTCCTCCTCCCCCTCCTCCCCTCCCTCCTTCTTCTTCCATGCGTTTCACCCACCCAGCACCGCGTTTCGTGGCCCCATAGGGAACTCCACCGAAGCCCCCAATGGGACCGCCCGCATGCGTCCCCCACACCCCATTTGACATTTTCCCTCACCCAATACAGCGTTTCGTGGCCCCATAGGGGGCTCCACCGAAGCCCCCACTGGGACCGCCCACGTGCGTCCCCCACGCCCAATTTGGCATTTTCGCTTGCCCAGTACAGCGCTTCGTGTTCCCATAGGGGCTCCACTGGCGGTCTCGCATCGGCGCAGCAAGGCGCGGGCATGCGTTTTCGAGGCGGAAAATGTTGAAATTCCTCGGAGGAGGTGTTTGCAAAACCTCATTGGGCGGGGTCTCAGGGAATGGGAACATCGGAAGAACAAGAGCCCCCCCCCCATGATGGGATGGTTATCGTGATGGTCGCATGCATCGTGTATGAAGGTAACATGATTGTTGTTGTTGTTGTTGAATATTATTACTTCTAAAGAAATATTATTGTTGAGACCCCTGGTGCGCGACCCCCCTCCAAAACCTAGGCCGCAGCCTCATTTCCTTCATTTTCTAGCGAAAGCTTCAGAAAAGTGGATTGTCACCAGATCCGGTTGTTTTGTTGTAATCCGTTTTCCCTTGCAAAAAACACTATAAAATGAAAATTCTTGTTCTTACTTGATCAAATTGCAAGAATCCCTTGCAAAAAATAAGGTAAAGTGGACATTCGTGCGCGCAAGACGAAATCCTTCCAAAACCTTAGGTTTCGTAGCGATTTTAACATAAAAACATCAAAAACCCAATGGTTTTTTAAGAAAAAATTGTCAAAATGTCCTTCCGCGCGCTCTTGCGGATTCGTAGGAAAACCAACACTTTTTAAACAATTCTGTCAAACGGGCTTTTGCGAGCAACTTTTTCGAACTTCTGCGACAACGGTTGCGCACCTGCCAGGGCCATCATCCCTGTCAAATAATACCATGCGGGACACATTCGTTTTTTCTTCGCGCGCGCACGCCGAAATCTCCAAAAACCATTGGGTTTTTAAGAATTTTAGCACCGCGCATCATAAAATCACACGAATCGCACCGTAGGTCCTCGAATCACACGAATCCATAGTCTCCCGTTTCTGTCTGCTCTCTGTCTCTCTCTCTGTCTCTCTGTATTATGTATTGTATGGCACAATTGCACCATGCTGGGCACATGCGCGCCCCGAATAAGTGACCAAGTTTTGTGGGTGTGTACCCCACGCCAGTGTAGTAGCCACGGTCGTCCGCACGCCACGAAGTGAAGTGTCCCAACGTCATAGGGCGGGAAGCTGGGTTTGGGTGGTCGCGAAGAGTCGTTTGGATATTTTGTAGAGCTTGAACTGGCACCCCACCACTGGTGTTGTTGAAACATTATTACTTCTAAAGAATAATTATTGTTGGGGCCCCTGGTGCACGACCCCCCCGCCGCGCCTAGGCCGCAGCCTCATTTTCATCATTTTCGTGAGGAAGTCTCAGGCAAAACGGGTTGGTCCGGATCCGGTTGTGTTGTTACGATCGGTTTTCCCTTGCAAAAAATAAGCTAAAGTGGACATTTCTTGTTCTAACATAACCAAACTTCAAGAATCCCTTGCAAAAAATAAGGTAAAGTGGACATTCGCGCGCGCAAGACGAAATCCTTCCAAAACCTTAGTTTTCGTAGCGATTTTAACATAAAAACATCAAAAAACCAATGGTTTTTCAAAAAAAAATGTCAAAATTTCATCCCGCGCGCTCTTGCGGATTCGTAGGAAACCCAACACTTTTTAATCATTTCTGTCAAACGGGCTTTTGCGAGCAACTTTTTCGAACTTCTGCAACAACGGTTGCGCACCTGCCAGGGCCATCATCCCTGTCAAATAATACCATGCGGGACACATTCGTTTTTTCTTCGCGCGCGCACGCCGTCGTCGTCGGCCGCGGGGCCCTGAATAGTAGCCACGGTCGTCCGCATGCCACGAAGTGAAGTGTCCGAACGTCATAGGGCGGGAAGCTGGGTGTGGGTGGTGGCGAAGAGTCGTTTGGAAATTTGGTAGAGCTTGAACCGGCCCCCCCACAAAGTGGGGGTATTGCCCGCCTCCTATGAAAACCCTGGCACCGGTGAAAACGGTGTGTCCCCACGTGCTAGTAATTGTTGTTGTTGTTGTTGTTGTTGTTGTTGTTGGTGTTGGTGTTGGTGTTAGTGTTGGTGTTGGTGTTGGTGTTGGTGTTGTTGTTGAAGAGACGGTCCCCGCGTTCCTCCTTCCTCCCTCCTCCTCCTCCTCCTCCTCCCTCCTCCCCCTCCTCCCTGCGTTTCGCCCACCTAATACAGCGCTTCGTGGCCCCATCGGGAGCTCCACCGAAGCCCCCAATGGAACCGCCCGCATGCGTCCTCCAAACCGAATTTGGCACACCCGTCACACGTTTCGTGGCCCCATAGGGAACTCCACCGAAGCCCCCAGCGGGACCGCCCGCATGCGTGTCCAAAACCCAATTTGGCACACCCCTCAAACGTTTCGTGTTCCCTAGGGAGCTCCAACGAAGGCCCTGGTGCCACCGCCCGCATGCGTCACCCACGCCCATTCCGGCACACCCCTCACGCGTTTCGTAGCCCCACGGGGAGTTCCACCGAAGGCGCCACTGGCTGCGTTCGTATGCGCCCACCGCACCCTTTTAGGTACACCCATCACACGCTTCGCGGTCCCATAGGGAGCCCCACCGACGGCTCCAGTGGCTGCGTTCGCATTCGCCCACCGCACCTATCTCGGCACACCTCTCACGCGTTTCGTGGCCCCATAGGGACTTCCACCGACGGCCCCAGTGGATGTAGTCGCATGCGCCCACCAGACAAACTTTGGCACACCATGACACGATTCGAGGCCCTATAGGGAGTTCCTCCGAAAGCGGTGCTTACATCGACGGTACTCACAACTGCATACGGTTGGGTCGTCCGGCAGTTTTTTTTTTTTTTTTTTTTTTTTTTTTTTTTTTTTTTTTTTTTTTTTTTTTTTTTTTTTTCATATATATATATATATATATATCTGACTAACGATTCATGTTGATCCCCCCTCCGTTAACCATTGTGTTTTTATTATAATGCTTCTCCTCGGGCTCGCAGCCATTTTTCCAAAGGAAAGCGAGGGGCCACCAAACTGCGTCCCTGGCCTCCCTGGTTTACTACAACAATAACGGCTCACGCCTGATACTTCCTCACAATGTAGTCCCAAATCACGCTCTCGCGCGGGAGGTCTTCACAAATTATTCAGGAAGGTTGCTCTCGCGTGGGACTTCCTCGCCATTTATTCAGACGCCGCGCTGTCGACACTCAGTAGTCACTCGGTCCGCGTCCTCGCCATTGGTTGAGACGCCGTCCATCCGTGGAACTGTCGCAAACTGTTAAGCCGAATGGGTGTGTGGCGATGGGGAGAGAGCAGCATTTTGAAAACGATCCGCCCTACATTCTTGAAGCTGTCGCAAAGGTCAATCTTCAGGATCAACAATTGGCGGGGAGTTTCAGGCGAAGCACCCGACATGCCCTGCGGACACGTTTCGAGGTGCGTCAGGGAGAAGCTTGTTCAAGGGACGAGAGACGGAGGCCTCCTCCTCCTCCTCCGCCTCCTCCTCCTCCTCCCCCTCCTCCCCCTCCTTTTCCTCCTCCTCCTCCTCCTCTTCCCCCCCTCCTCCCCGCCCAACCTTGCACCTCCTCGCCGCGCGGCGTGGCCGCGGGAGGCCCATGAAGGTGGCCATGCTCGGGACGCGGGAGTGCCCTTACCAGCACCAGCAGGAGATCGAGGCGACCCGCGTCCATCCCCAGCCCCGTCCCTCCCCGCCTCCATCTCCTCCGCCGCCTCCGCCAGTATTCCTCGTCCAATCATCTGTCTCCCAGGTCCCCACTTTTCCATGAACTTCTCTTCCCACTCCCCATGCCTCTGAATTCCCTCTTCGCCCATGCCCCCATTCCCTTCTATTCTTTCTCCCCGCTTTGCCAAGTCCCCCGTCCCCTTTCCTGTCCTCGTCTTTTTCCGCGTTCTTCTCGTCATCGTCCGCGTCCTGTAGGCCCTCGTCCTTGCAGTCGTCCTCATCCTCGTCTTCTTCCACGCCCTCCTCAATCAGTTCCGTCCCTTCCGTCCCCTTGGTCCCCTCTCTCAGCCATTCATCCAGCCCCTCCTCCTCCCAGCTGCTGAGCGAAGCGCGGGTGATGCGCGGCGACCACATATTCACGTCCGGCTCCACCGGCACCAACGCGTCAGTGATCAAGGCTGGCGGCCTCCCGTGACCAGCTGGAGGAGTTGCACGAGGATGATTAGTCGAGTCGATTCGAGTCGGACAGGGGAGCAGAGGAAATCTAGGAGCGCAGCCCTCTCACACGGTATTTACAACATGAGGATAGCGCAGAGGGTAAACGAATTTGATAATTACGGCTAATGGGCGTAATGATCGTGGTTGTGGTTGTGGTGGTAATGGTGATGATGGTTTTGGTGATGGTGATGAGCAGGATGATGATGATGATGAGGATGATGCTGATGCTGATGCTGATGCTGATGCTGATGCTGATGATTCTGATGATGTTGTTCATGTTGAGGACGATGACAGTGACGGCGACGACGACGATGATGATGCTGCTGCTGATGGTGGTGATGAAGATGATGATGACGGTTGTGCTGAGTTTTGCAGCAGATTATGTTGGTGATTTTGATGATGGGATCAGTGATGATGATGCTGTTTTCAGCTGCTAATGATGATGAGAAGTGGTGATGATGACGATGTTGATGTTGATGTTGATGTCGACGATGCTGACGATGGTGATGATGATGACGATGCCGACGATGATGACAACGATGGTAACGATGGTGGTGACGATGGTGATGGTGATGGTGATGTTGAAGGTGATGTTGCTGATGGTGATGATGATGGTGATTCTGAATATACGGATGACGATGATAAGAATGTGATGATGATGATGATGATGATGATGATGATGATGATGATGATACTGATGATGATGATGATGATGATGCTGATGATGATGATGATGCTGATGATGATGATGCTGATGATGATGATGATGATGATGATGATGATGATGATGATGATGATGCTGATGATGATGATGATGATGATGATGATGGCAGTGGTGCTGATGCTGATTCTGCTGCCGTTGCTCATGATGCTGATTACCGCGATTGCGATGATGCTGACTGGGTTGATGATGTTGATACTGATGCCGATGCTGATGCTGTTGCATCTGGTGTTGCTGTCGTGGTTGTTGTTGTTGTTGCTGTTGTTGTTGATGGTGATGGCGATGCTGAGCTTGTTGCTGCTGCTGCTGCTGCTGTTGTTGTTGTTGTTGTTGGAATAAACGGGGGTTGGGGCCCCGTGTTCCCCCCCCCAGCAACCAGCAACCAGCAACAATCCTTTAGAGAGGCCCACCGAAGCTTCATTTCGGTGGACCTCCCCACGGGATTGTTGCTTTGGCTCCACAGGGCGCTCCACCAGAGCTTCATTTCGGCACACCCCTCTCGACGGCCCTGGCGCCGCTGGCTTCGCAGGGAACCCCACCGAAGCTTCATCTCGGCACATCCCTCTCGAGGATCAAGGCCCTGGCCCCACACGGAGCTCCACCGAAGCTTCATTTCGGTACACCCCTCTCGAGGATCGTGGCCATGGCTCCGTAGGGAGCTCGTCCCAAGCTTCATTTCGGCACACCCCTCTTGAGGATCGTGGCCCTGGCCCCACAGGGAGCTCCACCGAAGCTTCATTTCGGTACACCTCTCTCGAGGATCGTGGCCCTGGCCCCACAGGGAGCTTAACCGAAGCTACATTTCGGAACACCTCTCTCGAGGATCGCGGCCCTGGTCCGACATGTAGCTCCACCGGAGCTTCATTTCGGCACACCCCTCTCGAGGATCGTGGCCCTGGCGCCACAGGGAGCTCCTCCGAAGCTTCATTCTAGCACGCATCTATAGAGGATCGTGGCCCTGGCCCCACGGGAAGCTGCACCCAAGCTTCATTTCGGTACACCCCTCTCGAGGATCGTGGCCTTGGCCCCACACGGAGCTCCACCGAAGCTTCATTTCGGTACACCCCTCTCCAGGATCGTGGCCCTGGCCCTACAGGGAGCTCCACCGAAGTTTGATTTCGGCACACCCCTCTTGAGGATCGTGGACCTGGCCCCACAGGGAATTCCACCCAAGCCTCATTTCGGCACACCCCTCTTGAGGATCGTGGACCTGGCCCCACAGGGAGTTCATCCGAAGCTTCATTTCGGCACACCCCTATCGAGGATCGCGGCCATGGCTCCGTAGGGAGCTCCGCCGAAGCTTTGTTTCGGCACACCCCTTTCGAGGATCATGGCCCTGGCCCCACAGGGAGCTCCACCGAAGCTTCATTTCGGAAGACAAGTCTCGAGGATCTTGGCCCTGTCCCCACAGGGAGCTCCAGCGAAACAACATTTCGGCACACCCCTCTCGAGGATCGTGGCCCTACCGAATTTTTATTTCGGCACACCCATCTTGAGGATCGGGCCCTTCGCCACACAGGGAGCTCCCTGGCCCAACAGGGAGCTCCACCGAAGCTTCATTTCGGCACATCCCTCTCGAGGATCGTGGACCTGGCCCTACAGGGAGCTCCACCGAAGTTTGATTTCGGCACACCCCTCTCGAGGATCGTGGACCTGGCCCCACAGGGAATTCCACCCAAGCTTCATTTCGGCACACCCCTCTTGAGGATCGTGGCCCTGGCCCCACAGGGAGCTCCAGCGAAACAACATTTCGGCACACCCCTCTTGAGGATCGTGGCCCTTGCACCACAGGGAGCTCCACCGAAGCTTCATTTCGGAACACAACTCTCGAGGATCGCGGCCCTGTCCCCACAGGGAGCTCCACCGAAGCTTCATTTCGGCATACCCCTCTCGGGGATCGTTGCCCTGGCCCCACATGGAGCTCCACTGAAGCTTCATTTCGGTACACCCCTCTCGAGGATCGTGGCCCTGGTTCCACAGGGAGCTCCACTGAAGCTTCATCTCGGCACACACATCTCGAGGATCGTGGCCCTGGCCCCACAGGGTGCTGGACCGACGCTTCATTTCAGCACACCCCTCTCGATGATCTTGGGCTTGGCCCCACAGGGAGCTCAGCCGAAGCTTCATTTCGGCACACACCTCTCGAGGATCCTGGCCCTGGCCCAACAGGGAGCTACACCGAAGCTTCTTTTCGGCACACCCCTCTCGAGGATCGCGGCCCTGGGTCTCGCAGGGGGCTCCACCGAAACCGCATTTCGGCACACCCCTCTCAACGACGACGGCTCGTAGACAACTCACAGCCCAACGGCTGCTGACAGCTTGAAGACGGCCGAAGCACGGCGAGATTCGGTGAGACCTTGGTTAGGGTGGATAGGTCCCCCCTTCTGGGCCTCCTCCGCCAGGAGGAGGAGGAGGCAGGCTGAGGCGGAGGAGGAGGAGGAGGAGGAGGACTTCCCCAAACGAAAAAAAAGTTGGATTGTAGTAGAGCTGGGTCCACCAGTAATAGGATTGTAGTAGAGCTGACCCACGACAAATAGGATTGTAGTATAGGTGGATCCAGCAGTAATAGGATTGTAGTAGAGGTGGATCCACCACTAGTAGGATTGTAGTAGAGCTGGATCCACCACTAATAGGATTCTAGTAGAGGTGGACCCACCACTAATAGGATTGTAGTAGAGGTGGATCCACCACAAATAGGAATGTAGTAGAGGTGGATCCAGCAGTAATAGGATTGTAGCAGAGGTGGATCCAGCACAAATAGGATTGTAGTAGAGGTGAATCCAGCAGTAATTGGATTGTAGTAGAGGTGGATCCAGCAGTAATAGGATTGTAGTAGAGGTGGACCGACCGCTAACAGGATTGAAGTAGAGGTGGACCCACCATTAATAGGATTGTAGTAGAGCTGGATCCACCAGTAGTAGGATTCTGGTAGAGCAGGATCCACCTAAGGATCCGAGAGGACTCCGTAGATTCCGGAGCTTCGCTGGTGCAGACACGGCAAACTGGCATGGAGGATGAGTTCACACCCTTCAGCGAGCGAATTCGCCAGCGGAGCAGGGAACGGAGTCCCAGGTTGCTGCTTGCTGGTTGCTGGTTGCTGGTTGTTTTGGGGGGGGTCCGAACCGGCCAATGGGGCACAGACGCGCGGTTCCACCTTAGGGAAGAAAGCGGGGAACGAGGTTTGGGACCATGGGGCACTCACGCGCGGTTGTTCCTTGTTGTTGTTGTTGTTGTTGTTGTTGTTGTTGAACATTATTTCTTCTTAAGAATAATTATTGTTGGGACCCCTGGTGCGCGACCCCCCCGCCGCGCCTAGGCCGCAGCCTCATTTTCATAATTTTCGTGAGGAAGTCTCAGGCAAAACGATTGTTACCGGATCCGGTTTTTTGTTGAAGCTCGTTTTCCCTTGCAAAAAACACTATAAAATGAAAATTCCTGTTCTTACTTGATCAAATTGCAAGAATCCCTTGCAAAAAATAAGGTAAAGTGGACACTCGTGCGCGCAAGACGAAATCCTTCCAAAACCTTATGTTTCGTAGCGATTTTAACATAAAAACATCAAAAGCCCAATGGTTGTTTAAGAAAAAATTGTCAAAATGTCCTTCCGCGCGCGCTGTCCGAATCCCACAAAACCAATGGTTTTTCAACATTTATGTTACATGAGCTCGCGCGAGCTACTTTTTCTTGTTCTAACATAATCAAATTTCAATAATCCCTTGCAAAAAATAAGGTAAAGTGGACATTCGCGCGCGCAAGACGAAATCCTTCCAGAACCTTAGGTTTCGTAACGATTTCAACATAAAAACATCAAAAACCCAATGGTTTTTCAAAAAAAAATGTCCAAATTTCATCCCGCGCGCGCTGTCCGACTCCCACAAAACCAATGGTTTTTCAACATTTATGTTACATGAGCTCGCGCGAGCTACTTTTTCTTGTTCTAACATAATCAAATTTCAATACTCCCTTGCAAAAAAAAGTAAAGTGGACATTCGCGCGCGCAAGACCAACAAAAAACACGACGATCTCAGGAACTTGCCCCAAAAATGTGACCAACTCCGCTCTCTCTGTCTCTCTCTCTGTCTGCTCTCTGTCTCTCTCTCTGTCTGTCTGTGTCATGTATTGTATGTCACAATTGCAGGATGCTGGGCACACGCGCGCCCCGAATAAGTGACCAAGTTCTGTGGGTGTGTACCCCACGCCAGTGTAGTAGCCACGGTCGTCCGCACGCCACGAAGTGA